TATTTCATGTGTATGCATGTATTGCCTGCATGTAGGTAAGTGCACCCATATACTACAATGCCCACGGAGGACAGAAGAGGCTGTCGGATCCCCTGGGACTGGAGTTACAGACAGTTGTTAGCTGCCATGTGCGTTCTGGGATTACAACCCAAGTCTTCTGCAAGAACAACCAGTGTTCTTAACTGCTGAGCCATCTCTCCAGCCCCTATTTTTACTTTTTATGAATATATTTTTTCTTTTTATGAATATATTTTGTGTGAATATATTTTCTGCATTCAAGTGCACCCGTTTCACACAATGTTCATGGAGGTCACAGGAAGGCATTGGACCCCTAGAACTGGAGTTACAGTTGTTAGCCACCATGTGGGTGCTAGGAACTGAACCTGGGTTCTCTGCAAGAGCAGCCAGTGCTCTTAACCTCTGAGCCACCTTTCCAGCACCTTGGAAGCCTTTTCAAAATAAAAAAAAAAATTATTTTATGTGTATGAGTGTATTGCCTGCATTTGTGAAGTGCACCCATGTCATGCAGTGCCCTCAGAAGTCAGAAGGTGGCATCATATTCCCCTGGAACTGCAATTACAGATATTACAGATGGTTGTTAGCTGCCATGTGGGTGCTAAGAATCAAACCCAGGTCTTCTGTAAGAGCAGCCAGTGCTCTTAACCATTGAGCCATATCTCCACTCTCAGAAGCCTTTTATAAGAATACTAATCCCATTCAGGAGGGTTCTGTTCTCATAATCTAATGCCCTTCCAAAGATTCTGCCTGCTAATATCACCTTGGGAGTCGAGATTCCCATATAAAGAACCTTGTCTCCCCCAAAATAGGGATGTGAGGAAACAGACACAAATATGTAGTCTATAACAGTATGGACAACTTTAAGGTCAATAAATTTCATAACCTACATTAAACTGATACTGTCTTTGAAAAATAGAGCAGAGTAAAAATACACTATTTCAGAGCTTCGTAAACTTTTTTCACACAACCTCTTTTGCCTAAAAATTTTTTACACATAAGTATATAAAATAGGTATACAAATCAAATATTTATTGGCAATAAATTATAAATTAATTTTTAAAGGACTTTATTTTGGGAAATTGACTTCTTTTGGGGTTTTTTTAAGACAGGGTCTCCCTGTAGCCCCACCTGGCCTGGAACTTGCTATATAGATCAGGCTGGCCTTGAACTTACATAGATCTGCCCACCTCTGCCTCCCAAGTGCTGAGACTAAAGGCATGTGCCATCACTCCTGGCATAAATTAATTTTTAAACAATTTTGGGGCCAGAAAAATGGCTTAGCTTGTACAGGTACTTGCTACCCAGCCTGAAGATCAGTCTCCAGAACACATATGGTGGAAAGAGAGAACAGACTCCAGAAAGTTGTCCCCTGACCTCTGTATGTGTGCCATGGCTCATACATACACACTCGTAAATAAATAAATATTTTAACATTACAAAAAGTAAAGCAATTCTGAGGGTGGAGAGATGGCTCTGCTCTTGCAGAGGACCCGGGTTCAATTCCCAGCACCTACATGGTGGCTACGAACTGTCCTTAACTCCAGTTTCAGGGGAATCTGAAGCCCTCTTCTGACCTCTGCAGCATTGTAAGACAAAGGTGCACTCACATGCATGCAGACAATACACTCATACACATAAAATAAAAATAATAAATAAAATATTTAAAAATTAAAGCAATTCTTTGGTATATGTACATTTTTGTGATTTATTAAAGGCAGACGATGAAGGGGACCCCAAGTTCAGTTCCCAGCATCCATGTAACTCCAGTTCCAGGGGATCCAATGCCTTCCCTCTTCTGGCCCCTGCTGGCACTGCACTGGAGGGGAAGAGGTAGGAGGATTAGGACTTCAAGATCACCCTTGGCTATATAGTTGAATTTGAGGCCAAGCCTGGCCTACATGGGACTCTGTCTCAAAAGGAAAAAAAAAGAAATAAAAAGGAAAGAAAGTAGAAGAGGGAGCCAGCTAGGAGAAGGAAGGGAACTAGCCAAGGAAAGCAAGGGGGTAAGGCATGGGGGACAGTGATTGGGGAAGGGAACAAATAAGAACCAAGAATAATGGTATGTATAAAAATGCCATGATGAGGGGCTGGGGACATGTTCAGTCGGTAAAATGCTTGCTGTGCAAGCATAAGGACCTGAGTTCAATACCCAGAATTAAGGTTAAAAAGGCAGGCTGATAATGCAAACTTGTAATCCCAGCACTAGAAAGACAGAAACAGGCGAATCCTTGGAATTCACTGACCAATCAGCCTGGTCTACTCTGTGAGCCCAGGTCCCAGTGAGAGACCCTGTCTCAAAAGCAAGATAAGAGGCTCCTGAAGAAAGATGCCCCCCAAGGTTGATCTTTGGCCTACATACATACAGACAGACAGACAGACAGACAGACAGACAGATATCAAACCTTGCTTTTGTTGTTTTGCTTTGATTTGGTCTGTTAAGACAAGATCTTACATGTGATCCAAGCTGATCAGGAACTCACTGTTATGCCCAAGCTGGTCTTGAATCCTCCTGCTTCAGCCCCACAGTACTTACAGATATGAACCACCATGACAAACATAAGTAACTTTATTTTAAATAAACCTCTCAGGCTCCCAAAGTTTGAGAACTTCCTGGCTGAAGATGACCAACTGAAAATTTTCCAAGCCCCACTCAGTCTCATCTCCAACTTTTCAAGTAGGTAGAAAAATTAACTGATAGGGTATTATAGGATCGATCTCTCTCCCTCTCTCTCTCTCTCTCTCTCTCTCTCTCTCTCTCTCTCTCTCTCTCTCTCTGTTGTTTTGTTTTTCTGACCTGGAACTCATAATCTTCCTACCTTAGTCTCCCAAGTGCTAGGATTACAGACATGCACAACCACATCCAGCTTTGATGCAAAGTTTCTGATACCAATTTTTCATGCAGAAGGCCAGGGCAGGCAGTGACCAGCGCTGGAGAAAGGAAGATAAAATGGACCTTCTAGACAGGTGAAAGGGGAACTGAGGTGCCTCATCCAAAACCTCCTCACAGTTAATGATAACTGCCCAACAGGAACAGGGTCATAAAGCCAAGGCTAGCCCCTTAGCAGCAATGGGGCATAGTTTTACACACACACACACACACACACACACACACACACACACTGAATCCTAGTACCCCTTGATGTCTTGCCACTCCCATTTGTGATGTCATGGAAACTTCTTTGTGGCTCAGTTCCTTTGTACCTCAGCTGTGGTAAGGCAGCCAAACCCTTAAAGAGCTGTTATGATAGGGGAGTGGAGTCAACAAGTAGCTGAGAGAATGTGGTTGGGCAGATCCTCCACACAGGAAACCCACTGGGCTAGAAAAACCAATGGGCCAGGATGGACAGGAGACTGTCCATCACTGCCTGTGTGGAACAGAAGAGACGAAGGAAGAACACAGGTGGGCAGGGAGGGTAAGATCCCAGTCAGGCTAGGACAACTCCCAACCCATGCCCAGTAGCCTTGGAAAACAGAGGCACCTGCTGAGTGAAAAGGCACATCTTTATTGGCATCTTTATTGGCACAATTGATAATGACACTCTGAGAAACCATGAGTCTCAAGGTCACTTGTTCCGGGGCCAATTTACTCCAAGACGGCTGTACTGAGCATCATCGTGATCTCGAAGAGGCTGAGGTGAGAAGGAGGATACTGAGTCAGGGTCAGAACTTCTCTTGGAGAGAGCCCAGAGATCAGCACTCATGTCTGACCTCCCCACACATCCAGAAATGAGCTCCCCTCAAGGACTCTCCACACATGCGCCCAACCCCTAGTGTCCAGTCACGCAATCCCCACTCCTTCTTTCTCCCATTGGCCCCTCCCCTCAGGGCTCACCTGATACAGCTGCTCGTTTCTTAGCAGAGCTTGAGTGTCAGCAGCTAGAAGAAGCAAGAAAAGAGAGTCATCAAGGAGCTGGGGAGGCTGAAGTAGGGAGACCTATGAACACTGCAGGAGGCTCTGAAGCTCGTCACTCTCACCCTCAGAAGTCCGCATGAGCAACATGAGCATCTAAGTTCTTTTAGCACCCTATGATAAGACTCCTTAGGACACTGCAAGAGCAACTCCCGCGCGCGCGCGCGCGCGCACACACACACACACACACACACACACACACACACACACACACACGGAGAGACCTTCCACTAACCTCCAGAGAGCCTTCCAGTCTCATGTCCTGAAAAGCAGTAGACTCCCAAAGCCAGGAGCAGAGTGGCAATGAGGTCGGTGATGATGAGGCCAGCCAAGGTGCCTCGGTCCAGCTCCACACAGCTCTGGCACACTATGGGCAAGAGAAGGAAAAAGAAGAGAGTTTTTTTGGGGGGTGGGGGTTGTCTTTTTGAGACAGGGTCTCCCTGTAGCCCCAGCTGTCCTGGAACTCACTATGTAGACCAGGCTGGCCTCAAACGCACAAAGATCTGCCTGCTTCTGCCTCCCAAGTGCTGGGATTAAAGGCAGACGCCACCACACCCGGCTAAGAAGAGAGTTTTTAAGATCAGGGAACCATCTCTTATCCTAGGAAGACCCTAGGCCCTCTCATGCCAAAACTCAAACTTCAGTAAGCTATTAATGGCCTCTCTAATTCCCCCTCTGTCCTTCTGAAGAGAAACAAGAAGTAACCTCAACTTTGTGAGACTTTCACTAGGGAGTGGACTAAGTCCCTCTCCAAGCCAGCAGTAACAAGGCCCCTATTCTTCTTCCTTATTTAAACTCTCTCCCATTCTGAAGTTCCCAAATCTCATTCATACCACTACAAGTGTGCCCTCAGTCTGTTTAGAGAGCAGATCAATTCACCACAGCACCTTCTAGCCTAAAGGTTCTCACATTCAGAGGCCCCACGATTCCAAACCCAGATGGTCCAGGAAGCACATACTTCGGTAATATACTTGCACAGTAGATAATTTATTCTTCATGTCCTCTGTCCCTTCGCACTTGTACACTCCTCGTGGATCCAGGATGCGTTTTCCCAAGTTCATTTTTTTATTTTTTGACAATTGTGTTCCCATTGTTCCCTCTACCCACTTGATGCTAGTATTGCAGTTCACGAAGACTTGGTCCTCAAGTTCCTCCACCAATATCTTAAAGGAGCTCACTAAGAGAGAGATAGTACAGTCAGAGGCAGCTTTCCCATTCTTCTGTTGAAGTGCATACTTAAGGGTCATTTGTAAAAGGAAAATTTATCATTTCTAGTGAGAGAGACAGAAGTGACAGAAGAAATACTTCAAGAAGTTCTCCTGGAACTACGGATCAGGAAGGACATGAGGCTATCATCCAAGCAGAAGATGGGTTGTCCTGGTTAGCTTTAACTGTCAACTTGACTCAACAGCCTAGAGACACTTGAGAAGAGAGCCTGAATTGAGGGATTGCCTAGATCATACTGACCTGTGGGTATGTCTGTGGGGTTTGTCTTGACTGCCTCAATTGATGCAGGAAGGCCCAGCCCACAGTGGGAGGCATCATTCCCTGAGCAGGTGTTCCTAGACTGCATAAGAAAGCTAGCCAGCAAGCAGTGTTCCTCCGTGGCTTCTCCTTTATGTTCCTGCTTAGTTCCTGCTCTGACTTTCATCAATGTTGAATTATGATCTGGAAGTATAAGCTAAGTAAACCGTTTCCTCCCTCCCTTAAGTTGCTTTGATCAGAGTGTTTTATCACTGCAAATGAAATCAAACTAGGACACAGGTCCTGAGGGACTTGGAGCAAAGGAGGAAACCATGAAGCTGGGTCGATCTAGGAACCTGCCTGAAAACAAGTTCAGACCATGGATTAGATGAAAGAAGGAAACTGACTGCTGAGGCCCACCCTAGAGACCCAGGAAGACAGAAGACTATTTCTAGGCTAAAGATTGTGCCTTTTACACTAGAAAGCATCTAATTCCTCTTCCCAGCCAGCAACTCTCTCACCTCAACTTCTCATCTTCTTCCTTCTCCATTGCCTCTGCTCCAACATCTGCCAAGGTAATGAGAGACTCACTATGAAAGCCTTTCTAAGAGCTAATCACAGCTTTGGTAGGGAGGAGCTGTATGAACTTCCAGCCCAGTGGTCCAGATTTATTAGGGCAAAGCCCTTGTTAAAAAGATTATTAGCTGGGCCTTTAGCTCAATGTTAGAACAATTGTCTGGCATGTGCAAGGCCCTAGGTTCAATCTCCAGTACTACCAAGAAAAATTTAACATTCATCCTGACACAATGGTTCATATCTGTAATCTCAACACTTGGGAGGCTGAGGTGCAAGGATTGCATTGATCTTGAGGCCAGCCTGGGCTACACAGTACGTGAGATGCCCAACTCAAAAAACAAAAACAAATAAATTTGGGGAGGTGTCTTTTTTGAGAAAGGGTCTCTCTGTAGGCCTCAGCTGGCCTGGAACTCCCTATATAGACCAGGCTGGCCTCGAACCCACAGAGATCCACCTACCTCTGCCTCCCAAGCATTAGGATTAAAGGTGTGCGCCACTACACCCAGCTTCAAACAGATTTTTTGTTGTTCTTTCAGCAGCAGCCAGTCCAAGACACAGCTCCATATAGTCACTTACAGCAGGCTTAAAGGTTCTGTTTCATCTTTGAGGGACCTTGACTCAAGTAAAACCAGATCTTAAGCTTTGACACAGAGAAGAGTTTCAGGATGAGCTCATATGAAGCAAAGTTGGGATTTATTAAGGGTATTTTTACCCATAGATTAATGCATCTCTCAAGTCTCACCAGAGAAGCTCCCTTGTGCAGCAGATGGTGATTAACACAGAAACCCAAAACTGGCCAACCTACAGTGAACAAGAGGCAGCAACTGCTTATTTCTGAATAGAACACCTATATAAAATGTCTACCTCCCAAGGCTCAGGGATTATTGTGGAAGAGGGGGAAGAAAGATTGTAAGCGCCAGAGGTAGCAGATGACCACAAGGAAACAGAGTTTTCCAGACAGCTGGTCAGTAACTCATATGAACTTACTGCAATGGTGGCAGCATACACAAGACCTGTGCAAGCAAGCTCAAACCGAACCAAATCCCAGCATAGACGTGGAGAAGTGGGCAAGAAACCCCAACCATACCCGAGGAGCTATTGGCAACCAATAGTTGGCTGCTGGGAGGGGGAAGAGTCAATCTTTTTCAAAGATGTGACTCTTATTAGGTTAACCAGATTCCAGGGGATGAACCCACACTGAAGGACATTTGGGGATACAAATTAGAACCTATAGGCCTTATTATTATATATAATAGAGTACATTAAATTGGACAGGGAAGGTATGGATGGTGAGGGATTTAATACCATCAAAATATAGTGTATGAAAAGCGCAAACTTCCAATTAAAAAGTGTTTTTAGCCGGGTGTGGTGGTGCACGCCTTTAGTCCCAGCATGCAGGAGGCAGAGGCAAGCAGATCACTGTGAGTTTGAGGCCAGCCTGTTCTCCATAGTGAATCCAGGCCATCTGTGGCTACAGAAAGACCCTGTCTCAAAAAACCAAAAAAGTGTTTTAATATAGATTTTAGGCATGAGGATTAAGAAGAGAGAAACACTTCAGAATGACTTCTCTGAGGGAGTCACACACCATTGTCTTTACAACAATTACCCATTTTGGTGGGTTTTTTTGCTAATATCTGCAAAAAGTTGCTAAAGAACATAATTGAGATCACGGGGTGGCTTGTAAGGGGTATCTGACAGCATCCCTGGAAAGTAGAATATCTTCACTGTAAACAAAGTCAGCAGTCTTGTGAGGGTCCCAGAAAATGTCTGAGAGGAATGAGGCTCTCCCCAAAGTTATATACATTCAGATACTAAACTTGGTTCATTGCTATTTTAACATAAAATATCTACATATGAAAAGAAAATTATCTCTAGGTGGGTAGCCTTCACAGAAAATATTAATTGTACTAAAATTCTTTCAATCAGCTGGTGAGAGATTTCAACTAGACTCCAGGTGAGGGCTTTCTTTCCCTTCTCATGCCCCATAATTTTTACCTTTCTTTATGTCCTGCCTCAGTGCCACACTTGTTCAAGGGGAAACAGTCACCCCAAAAACGTATGTCAAGTCTGTTCCTGAAGCACCACACAGCTCAAGTCTTGCAGAGGGTGTAAGTACCAGAGACAAGCACGGCGGGCCTTTCTAGATCTAGGTAATTACTGTGCCAGCCTGAGAACATCTCCACAGCCCACAGGGGTGCTGGCATCTCCACCACCAGCCCCAGGCAAAGGTGGAATGTGTGTTTTCTCTGAGCTTCATACTCAAGTTACCAACTGGGACACAAAAGCATCCTTCAGAAAACTCCAAAATGGCCGCTCCTCCTACATCTGAAGCAGGTCAGAAGTAAACGAAGAACACCCAAGAAGACACATGCCCACAAAATGCTCCCCTCCTACTGTGTGTCTTCTGTGGAGCTTTTTCCAGGGGAACTCCTGGGTGGCCAGAGCAGGTCTTAAAATGACCATTTGACCCAGTTTTCCTGGGACTGCAGGGCTTTTCCTGGAGCATGAAATTTTGGGGGTTATTTTGGTTTGGGTTTGGTTTGGTTTGGTTTGGTTTATTTTGCAATGCTACAGATCTACTACTGAGCTATATCCACAACCCAATTTTCATTTCTAAAAGTCAAGCAAATTGTGAAGAGAGGACATCTACTGACTTTAATACAATGTACCCTCCCATCTTGTCCTTCTTCCTGCTCAGCTAAAGCTAACTTTTCTCTTTAAAAGTGCTCCTGAAAAAAATTAAAATTAAAAAGTTCTCCTGGGCTGGGTGTGGTGGCCCACACCTTTAATCCCAGCACTCGGGATGCAGAGGCAAGCGGATCTCTGTGAGCTTGAGGCCAGCCTGGTCTCCATGGTGAATCCAGGATAGCTGGGGCTACAGGGAGACCCTTTCTCAAAAAGACAAAAAAAAAAAAAGTTATCCTGAATTCTGGGACATGGTGGTCATATAACGATGGCCAATAACCGAGAATCAAGAATCCTACTCCAGGAGACCATTTGCCTTAGAAGGAACAACGGTTATAACTTTCTCCCATCACTAGCCCTAGGCTCAGGCACATGCAATACTGAACCATTTCTTACAGATCTCTGGTCCAAGGCCTTAAGAGATATTCAAGACCAACATGAGCCTTGGCTGGAGTAGGTCAAAGCCTACATCCCAGCCCACCCTCCTGATCCTCCAGTGTCTGGTAAATTGAAAATAGCCCTGAGAAGCACTTTTCAGTGGACTTGTTCTAGTGTTTGGGTTCCTTCCTCCACACACCTGGAGAAGCCTCACTTACCTTGAGAGAGAAAGGCAGCCATTATCAGACTAGCCAGAATCCTGCTATGTTCCATTTTCTGGCAGAATTCATCCAGTGGATCCAGGCAGATCACAGAACTATCAGCCAGGGTGAGCACTACCTCCACCAACTGACTCATGGGTATTCTGAGAAAGGAAAGAGTGGGGGAGGAACTAGAAGCGTTTGATGATGGGAGACTGTCAACACAAGAGCGGGCTAGGAGTAGGGTAAGAAGGAAGCAGGTGCAGACTGATGTTTTTAGAGCAGAGAACCTAGGAGTGAGGCAGAAGGCAGAGCAGACAACATGGGAGGCGGTCACTTGGACTTTTAGGATGTGAAAAGATAATTAGAATAGCCTTTCCTGGGTCACTGATGAAAAACGCAAATTTTAGGTTTCCTGTTGACAACACAACACCATTTACTTACCAACAAGAAATTGCCTCCTCTCCAAGCCCATTGAGAGAAGCTGTGAACCTCATTAACCAAGTCACACTAGCTAGGTTCCCATTCCTGGTCTGTCTAAAGACCCTTCACAGGGCAGTGTGGGACACCACATCCATTTGCTTCTAGCCAGTGGGAAGATGGACTTCAGAACCCCTCAGCTAGACATTTGAATCCTGGCTCCAGTACTTAGCATCCATGGTGCCAGGCATGGAATCTTTCAGAGCTTTACTCCCTCAGTATCGTTATAAGGATTTGATGTGGGGGAAGAATTTGCTTGGTGCCTGCCACGTCCAGTATGCTCAGTATGAGGTTCTCATTAACAATATAATCTACTGACTAGTAGAATAGAGCTTTCCCAGGAGACAATGGACTTTTCCCACCAGGGGCTGTGGGGATCTAAAACTTTCCACACTGCCACAGTCGGGCAGTCATCTACCTGGGGACAGAGCCGTGTCTGCCATGCTCACTGCTGTTTTCTGTGTCTGGTGTCAAATAGCTCTGTGAATTTTTAAAATATTTTATTATTTTTATTTTATGCCTATGTGTGTATTACCGGCATTATGTAAGAGCACCTGTGTCATGCAATACCCACAGAGGTCAGAAGAGGTTGTCAGATCCCCTAGAACTGAAGTTATGGATGGCTGTTAGCTGCCATGTGGGTGCTGGGAATCAAACCTAGGTCCTCTACAAGAGCAGCCAGTGCTCTTAACTGCTGAGCCATTTCTCTAGCCCTAGTTCTGTGAATTTTTGATGACTCATTTACTGAAGGAGACAGTGGCCTGAGATCCTGAAAACAGCCAAAATCAAGGATCCAGGAAATGTGCTTGCTGTCCTGTTGGAATGTTTAACCTATTCCCTGGTGGGTACCACTTTGATGATCTCAAAAGAATAGTGACAAAATCTCCCAGTAAATGTCTAGACTAAAATGCTTCTCCATTCAGAATTTCAGCCACACACACCTAAGTCTCCCACCTAGAGTCAACAGTTCTAAGATCAAGTGACAAACAAGCCCAATTCTAGCAACAACTAGAGGCAGGGACAGTCATCTTTCTTGGGAAAAAGGGCTCAGGATGGTCCCTCAACCTAGCATTCAAAGAGGTTCTCAGGGTAAGTGGGGCTCCAAGTGGGAACCCAGTACCCTCTCACTCCCTGCCACCTGCTGCCCTGCAAGAGACATGCCATGCACTCGTAGCCCTACTGGGGCCCCTGCTGCCCACACTTGAAGCAGAGGGTGGAGGCGCTGGGGTTTTTGCCTCTGCTCAGGGCCCCAGCTCAGAGGATGCTGGGCGGAGTCAAGCTAGCTACTGCAGACAACCTGGTGGCTGCCAAGGGACGCTCCACATTTCTACTGGGAAGAACAGAGGCTGGCATGGAGCAGGGAAAGGGTCTGATGGGCCTCGTCCTTGCAATCTTTCTTCTTCAAGGTAAGAGGCTACCAGAGGGTATGACAGCCTGGGGAGGGCTCATGAGAAGAGGCTATCAGCAGAGAGACAAGGCTACTGGAATCCTAACCTTGAGCCAACTTCATCTGTCTTCTTAGAATTAAAAGAAGGAAAGGCAAAAATGAAACCTCTTGCTGTTCTCTGCTGGAAAGAAGCAGAGAACAGGGACTAAACAGAGGACTAAACTGCTAGAGAGCAGGTTGTGCTGCCGCCATCTTAGGCCTGAATGTAGCTCAAAAGGGCCCAACCAAGCTGGGGAAATGGCTCAGTTGGTAAAGTGTTTGCCACATAAGCATGAGGACCTGACTTCAATCCTCTGAAGCCACTAAAAACACAGGCATGTTGGCGTCATTTTTCTTTTTCTTTTCTTT